ACTTACCTATGATTTGGAGAAGTTTGAGTCTTTAAAATCACCTAGGGATGCTTAGGGTTCGAAATTTTGAAGAATGAAGTTGAAATCCCGTCCAAATGATGTTTTGTTCAGGTGCAGATGTCGCAATTGCGACTTGAGCTTTGCAAATGCGAGACAGGCTTCGCAATTGCGAACCTGCTGCATGTCTGCTCCTCTCGCAATTGCGAGCATTTCATCGCAATTGCGATGACTGGCCCCTCCCTGATGACTTCGCAATTGTGAAGGGACGTTCGCAAATGCGAACAATGCAGGCCTGGGCTTCCTTCGCAAATGCGATCAAGCCCCCGCAATTGCCAAACCTGTTAGGCTCGCAATTGCGAAGCCTGACCTCGCAATTGTGAGATCAGAGCATGTAACAAAAATACCAGCTGCAACAGAAATTTTCTAAGTCCAAACTCACTCCGTGGCCTATCCAAAACTCACCCGAGCACTCGGGGATCCAAACCAAACATGCAGGCAAGTCTAAAACATCATACGGACTTGCTCGTGCGGTCAAATCATCAAAATAACATCAACAACTACGAATTTAACCTCAAATTCATGAAATTCATAAGATAGTTCAAAATCTCTATTTTCTTAACCTAGGGTCCGATTTATATCAAATCAACTCCGATTCTTACCGAATTTCACATATTCGACTTAAATATTATTTTGAACCTGTACCGGGCTCCGGAACCAAAATACAAGCCCGATACCATCAAGATCACACACCATTTCATTTCCAAAAGTCCTTATATATTCCGGCAAACAATTTTCTTTAGAAATTCTTTTCTCGGGCTAGGGACCTCGGAATTCGATTCCGGGCATACGCCAAAGTCTCATATTTTACTACGGATCCTACGGGATCGTTAAATTACGGGTCTGGGTTCGTTTACCAAAAATATTGACCGAAGTCAACTTTATCTAATTTTAAAGGCCAAATTCAATATTTTTCTTATATTTCACATAAATGCTTTCCGGATACGCGCCCGGAGTGCGCACGTAAATGAAGAGAAAGAAAATAAGGTTTTCAAGGCCCCGGAACCCGGATTCGGGTCTAAAACAAAAGATGATCCTTTGGGTCATCACAGTTATTAGTAGATTTTTTCTAGATTATAATTAAAGGTCATGTAAAGTGTAAATAGATAATTTTTACAAATTTACTGTAAAATTTACTGCTATTTTCACACATTTTTTTAATTACATGCAGTGTATAGTTTATAAAATTTTCACTGTCTTTTAAATAGATAGAATTTTGATTGCTATTAATAAAACTAGTGATACAAGTAAATTATTTATTGTAATTTTTATTTTTCTCATTTTTTCACTATTGAACGTCATCAACTTATATGCTTGGCTACTACTTCTCACTTTCTTTAGGTTTTGCAAGTTTTTTTAAATTTATTTATAGGTAAGTCGATAACAACAACAACAATAACAACAACAAACCCCGTATGATCCCAACAGGTGGGGTTTGGGAGGGTAGTCTGTACGCAGACCGTACCCCTACCTAATGCAGGTAGAGAGGCTGTTTCCAATAGACCCTCAGCTCAGGAAAGGCAAGAAGAAGAAGAAGAGGAAAGCAGGGAAGGAAGAAAGAAGGAAGAGAAAAGAAAAAGAGAGAGATAAAGGATAAGTAGTACCAAATAATAGTCACAGGGAATACAATACCTGATGTGAACAAAACCACATAACGTATAAAAATCTAAGAATATGAAGGGACATGCATGCTACTAAGACTATCGATGAACAACTAAAAAACTACCTACTAACCTTCTACTTTAATCCTGGACCTCCACACCCTCCTATCAAGGGTCATGTCCTCAGTGAGCTGAAGCGTCATGTCTTGTCCAATCACCTCTCCCCAGTACTTCTTAGGCCTACCTCGACCTCTTCTCAAACTCTCTATGGCCATCCTCTCACACCTCCTGACAGGAGCATCAATGCTTTTTCTCTTAACATGTCCGAACCATCTCAGCCTCGACTCCTGCATCTTGTCCTCTACGGAGGCTACTCCCACTCTGTCCTGGATAGCTTCATTCTTAATCCTATCTCTCCTGGTACACCCACACATCCATCTCAACATCCTCATCTCTGCTACTTTCATCTTCTGCACGTGAGAGTTCTTGACTGGCCAACACACAGCCCTATACATCATAGCTGTTCGAACCACCACTCGATAAAACTTACCCTTAAGTCTTGGCGGAACATTCTTATCACATAAAACACTGGAAGCGAGCCTCCAATTCATCCATCCCGCTCTGATGCGATGTGCGACATCTTCGTCAATCTCCCCGTTACCCTGGATAATAGACCCGAGATACTTAAAACTCGCTATCTTGGGGATAACTTGAGCATCAAGCTTAACCTCTACGTCTGCATCATGGGTCGCGTCTCTGAATTTGCACTCCAAGTATTCTGTCTTGGTTCTACTCAGTTTGAAACCTTTAGACTCCAAGGTCTGTCTCCAAACCTCCAACCTCGCATTAACTCCGCTTCGCGTCTCGTCAATCAACACTATATCATCGGCAAATAGCATGCACCAAGACACCTCCCCTTGGATATGTCGCGACAGTACATAAAAATAAAAAATAAAAAATTCATTATTCAAGAACAAAAATAAGAGATAAAAATTGAAGAGGGTAAACTAGGTATTTTAAGATTTCACCTTTGATATGAGGAGCATAATGATAATTGTTCAAAATTGAAGGGTGAATTTAATTTAAATGATTTTTACCCAAAAGAAACTCACTATTTGAGGCAGTTGATTTTTCTGATTATTTTCCTAGTGCACTAAATTATTTGAGAAAAGGAAAGCTCTCAAAGCAATGTCCAATCGCTTGATAAAGAAATGGATATTGGGGTTAACTCAATTCCAAAAGTCAGTTCAATAAACGATCAGAGACGATGTGGGACAGTTACAGGCTTATTAACATATAATTTTTTTGAAGGGCAAAATACCTTGTTATTTTAAGAGTTTTCTAACACGTGTCGAAACGTAACTCCACTTTGGACTGCTGGGGCTCACCCATGATACCGAGCATATCTATTTTCTTTCAGTTTCATTTATTTAAGGGAAAATTTGAGGTGGGGGTGGTAGATAAAGCTGTAATTTTAGATGGGTATTGGAGGAATTGAAAAAGTGGGTAGTGAAATTTTAAAAAAAAATCTTAAAGATTCTTTTGTTTGAATTTGGTAGAATTAAACTTCTTCATTTTCTTCTATTTTATGGACTGATATATGAGTAAATATGGGAGTTGGGAATTTTTGGTTACAAGGGTTATCAAGCTATTCCAATTTTCTCATATAGACGTCTAGCCACTATGGCATAGAGTATCAAAGCTACATATCACGTTTCTTTTGACAAATGGAAATAGTCTTAAGTTCTACTTAATATTTAATGAGAGTTAATATATGTACAACGTAACTAAAGAAAGACTATGTATAGAGTTCTAAAACTGGCCGCCACTGCATCATTCAACTTACGATTTCTAAAAACTAACAATTTCAAAGTGGTCCAAAACCTAAATTAGCCATAAATTTTCTATTATTAAAATGCTTTTGAGTTTATATACTATTCCCTCTGTCTCAAAAAGATATCACATTTTATTTGTAAAAAATAATTTGACTTTAAATTTCTTCTTTTATCCTCAATGAGATGATTTATAGCCATCCAAATATTTATGGTCTGTTTTAAACCACAAATTTCAAACTTTCGTTTTTTTAGACTCAGTGATCAGTCAACACCGTTACATAAATTGTGACGGAGGGAGTATTAGTCTAAACAAACGGCAGTGAAATCTTTTCTTCTTTGTCTGCACAAGCACCTTGAACCCTTTCCTATTTGGAATACTATAAACTTCAACACTTTGTTAAAATTATTTAATTTTCCCATTCAAAACAAACAGAAGGGTGCAATAACAAGAAGATCAAAAGGAGCAAAGAAAATATGTCAGTTTGTGAGAGATATAATCTAAGGGCTTTGGTTTTTCTTCTTCTTCTTCTACTTACATCAATGGCTTCAAGGGTTGAAAGCATAAGAGATATGCAAGAGAAGAATTATCAGAGTTTGCTTCAAAACCAACTTCCAAGAGGACCAGTGCCACCTTCTGATCCATCTCCATGCCATAACAAGCTTGATCCTTTCAATCAAAGCGACTTTTCTTTTCATCAAGATTATATCATGTGTCCATAACGTGATCATCCTTTTTTTTATTTCCATCCAGTGTCCGGTACATATCAACTTTGAGGCCCGACGACTAATCCAGATTCGCGATCAGAAAAGTCTCACTTTGCGGGTAAAGCGCTCTCCACCCAAAGACGACTTCATACTAGGCCAGGGCTGGAACCCTAAAACTTTGGTTAAAGATGGAGGAACACTTACTTATTGGTTACTCCACCACAACCTTTAGTGGTTAATGTTTGATCATTTAGAATAAGATACATTTAATTATTTAGAACTTCTGATGATAATGGAGAGATATATATATGTAGCTCTTTCAACTTTTCTTTCGTTCTTTACTCTTTCAATATTTTAGAAGTAGCCATTTATAACTTTACCTGAGCTTTTCATTCATTTTTTACACCAACTTTGATTAATTATATGCGCCGTATCATCTAATTAAAGTATAACTTATCAGAGATTGAACATTTTTATCTACTATTTATCTCCAAGATCCTCTTTCCCCTGCGTACGAGCCTAATTATTATTCTACAAAATGTATACGTGAATCTAATTATGTTGATCGGAAGCAGTTATGTGAATCCAAAGGTTATGTGTACTAGCTTTTATAATATGTTGAATTATTTAATTATTGCATTTAAAAATTCAAGATATTATATAGCAACTACTTTTTCATTTAATTATGGTTATATGCAACATCTCTAACTTTGTTCCATTGTGGAAGTTTCATAATGGAACACTCATGACTTTATCATGATACAACAAAATATACGATCTATTATTTCTTACGGAGGAAACAGAAAAGGAGAATAATACTTGTCATTTATCAAAATATATTTCCAAAACAAATACATGAGACAGTGAAAAAATAACAGAAAAAACAACAACAAAAAGAAAATTAAGACCTAAGCTATTCTTTTATCCATGTTTTGGACAAGTCGACGCATTTGGAATCTCCAAAACAAGAAATATACTAACCCAAATCCCGCCAATACAAACAACCAAATATTATCCTCTTTATTCTCTTCCTCCATTTCCACTATACTAAACTCTTCTCTATCTGCATTTCCCATTATACCCTCCATAATATGCCCATATAACACATACACCCTATTCCTGTCCCCAATTGTAACAGAAGATGCAAACCCCTCCGCGTCAAGGGTAATTTCGTCAAACACTACTCCATTAACCCAATTATCCGCGCTCTTCACATAATAAAGCTTGTGCTGACTCACCACTACAACTACGCCGTCACTTCTAACGGACATACCATCAGCTGCCGTTAAATCTTTATCCAAATTAACGGTCTTTGCCGTCCCGTCATCAACGTTGACTTTGTACATTTTGCCTGTATTTGATTGGACCACAAGTAAATACCCTTTAGATGTAAAAACGATGCCGTTTAGTCCGCATTTGTGATAATCTGCGGTCATGTCCACGGGATGAGATTTGAAGACCTCCGATCTCCACAAAACCGAAGCTTCGCCGGCGAAGTTCACTTTCCAGATAAAATCGCCATCGGAGTTGGTCACGTAAGCGTTTCCGGAGGAATCAACGGCGACATCATTTGCGGCAGCGGGGCGGATTGTCTCCGTCACGGTGGCGATCGGATTTTGATCGTCGCTGTCTAGGAGAGGCGTGAGGAAAATGCGGCGGCGGGATTTGAGGTCGTAGGCAGCGAGTGCGTTGAACGGGGAAGGTGAAGTGGGGGTAGGGATACGGTGAATGCAAGCAAGGAGGCGGTTGTTACGGCGGTCGATGGCGAGGCCGAGGAACGAGGAATTTCCCGGTAAATCGGTGTCGGAGAGTAGGGTTTCGGTTACGCCGGCGTCGGAAATGGAAAGGAGTTTCTGATGACGTATACCGCCGACGATGAAGTTGTGTGATTTGGGATCCCAAGTGAATGACTCCGGAAAAAGGTTCGGTGATCGGAAATTGATGACGTGGCGGTGTTTAGCGGCGGAGGAAATGATTAAAGTGACGGAGATGAAAAGGGCGTTGAAAACGGTAAGGGCGAAACTTGGTTTCATTGTACTAAGCTTTGGTGTTTTTCGTCAGTTTGTCGACGGAATATAACTTGAAATTACTAAAATTAAAATATATTTTTCTTTTTTCCATTCAAACTAACTTGGCCAGCAAGCCTATGAATCTGAGGCACGGTTAAAAGCTTTGATTTGAAGGTGTATGATTGTAGTGTAATTGATAACATTATATGAGAAGTCAAAAATATTCGAAGTTTTCTTTTTGTTGTTATAGGAATACATTATAATTGCTGATTCTTTTGAAGTAAATAAATAAATTTTGTAAATAAAGTATTTTTGATAGAAACATTTTCTAAAATATTTTTAATGTTGTAGGAATATTCTCTTTTTTAAAGAAAAAAAGAGCTTTAGTGCTTTTAACTCCCAAAAGTGCTTGGCGAATATATATATTACTGTTTTCTACTATGTAATTGGATAACAGATTTAATTAATAAGTTGTTCGTCAAATTGTGGAGTCTAGATTTTTCATTTCATATATAAAAGGAGAATCCATTTAGAATTTTCGTCAATAATGGTTGTACATTTGTACTCATTTGTAGACAATTAAAATTTTATGAAATTTGAATCCACATATAATTTGGATTTTACCATATATTAAATACATATTAGTCTAAATGATACTATGGGCTAGTATAATCGGGTCGATTATTTAAATCTAAAATGAATTGATTTAAATAAAAGTCCAATGTATTATTGGCCTAACCCGTCAATTGGTCTTCTATCAAATATGTCGGCCCATAAGCCTCAAGCCCAATGATTCGCTAGAGTTTTCTTGGAGACTACTCCACCCCACACCTATATAAATGGCTCAAAAGAGAAGGCTAAGACACAAGCAAGTAAGCAGAAGGAAAGGCTAAAGAAGCTCTAAAGAATAGCATCAAGGTCTACATCCATATCTGCAATTGTTGTGTGTGGTCAAATTCCAAAGGCGAACTCAAATCATAGGCGGGCGACTTCAAATCTTCCGTTTGTGATAACTCAACACCAAATCCTGGTTCGTGACAACCTTCAAATTGTTCGTGGCGTACTACAAATCTGAAATTCGTCAAGTTTAAGATCAAGCTCTTGAACCATCGTCCGTGAGGAGAAAAATCAGAGGGCAACATCTTTTTAGATCTAGAGATATTTTAGAGATTGTAACCCCATCACTTGAAATCGAATATAATATTTATCGCTATATTTCTTGTCTTGATTATTATTTTTCAGGAATGAAATTTAGTTGTTACAAATCTTGGCACGCCCATTGGGACAATCTCTACCTCTCATCTCTTCTCAACTCTCAACATTCAAGATCACTAAGATGACTTCAAAGAAGATCGACTAAAAAGTTGGTAACTCCAAGTTTCTTCTGACGTTGAAAGTATCCTGAACGCTACTATTGGGAGTCTTGGGCCAATCACCCGAAGCAAGGCTAGAGTCTTGGGACAGCAAGCACTCCAAGTGTCGTCTGCACCAATGCATGCTTTGAGACCATCATCCGAAGAAGATAGGTCCTCTGCTAGCAAATCAGAGAGAGGAGATAATATTGCAGAAGTTGTGGAGAAAGCTCTTGCTCAACTTACTTTATATAATACCAAGAGTTGGCTTACCCAACTTGATGATGAAGTTTTAAGTGTTGGCTCTACGCTAATCTCGCCACATGACATGTTCCAAACTGAGTTCAATCCGTGGGAAGGTCTCAGTTATTCTTCATCATCTGCAATAATCATGGAGGCAATGATGACTAACACTTCGACAATGGAGGAGCAACTCGCAAACCTGACAAAAGCAATTGATGGCTTAACAAAATATGCTCAAGATCAAGATGTCCGATATTGCAAATATGACAAGCATAGTTGAAATCATGATGGATGGAGAATCAAGTCATGCGCCTGGAAAGCTCCCTAAAGTCCATGAGAAGGCTGATCCTCTAACAAAACAAGTGTCATCCGCCAAAGAACTTCATGTCTCCTGCGAAGGATCAATTCCCATCGAACAATTGAAGGAATTCATTATGGGGGCTACCAAAGATAAGTATGAGGTCGCTACAAAGTCTTCTCTCACGTATGCAAAGCCGTATACTGTAAGAATCGATAGCTTGAGGATGCCTGCAGGTTATCAACCTCCCAAACTTCAGCAATTCGACGGCAAGGGAAATCCAAAGCAACATGTCGCACACTTTGTTGAGACATGCAACATGCAGGGACTTATGGAGATTACCTTGTCAAGCAGTTCGTCCGCTCACTAAAGGGGAATGCTTTTGATTGGTACACCGAACTCGAGGCTGGATCCATTGATAGTTGGGACCAATTGGAGCAAGAGTTTCTTAATCGCTTTTATAGCACGAGGCGTACTGTGAGCATGGTGGAACTTACGAACACTCGCCAACGAAAATATGAACCAGTTATTGACTTTATTAACCGATGGAGGAATGCAAGCCTTAACTGCAAAGATAGGCTAAGCAAAGCTTCTGGCATAGAGATGTGCATCCAAGGAATGCATTGGGGACTTCGTTACATCTTGCAAGGAATTAAGCGCAGGACATTTGAAAAACTTGCCACCCGTGCTCATGATATGGAGTTGAGCATGGCTTCTGCGGGAAATGAAGGGCTGCCCATCTACGAACCTCGCAAGGGAAGAGATAAGCAAAAAGTTAGAAAATGGAGCAAGTTCGTACCCAATAATGAAAGCAAAGAATCCATGAATGTCAATGCCTCTCCTTTGAAGTTTACTACCAAGGTGAGCAAGAAACAGAGCATGAAAACAACTTCCTCTCAAGATAATGCAAATCGAAAGTTGACTCTCAAAGAGATGCAAGAAAAGGAGTACCCATTTCTAAACTCCGATGTGCCAGCAATATTTGAAGAACTCCTTGAAATAAAGCTTATTGAGCTGCCAGAGATGAAGCGGCCAGATGAAGCTGGAAAAAGCAATGACCCGAATTACTGCAAATACCATCGGCTTGTAGGTCACCCTCTTGAGAAGTGCTTTGTTTTCAAGGACAAAGTTATGTTTTCAAGGACAAAGTTATGGATTTGGCTCGTCAAAAGAAGATCGAGCTCGAAGATGAAAAGCGAGCACAAACCATGTGTCCATTGCCTTTGCCTCATTCGATCCGATTGAGATATACACCTGTGAAGGGAATGAAGATGAAGAATTGTTGGAGGATGACAAAGTCCGAGTTGATCAACCTGATGAAGAAGGTTGGACCCTGGTGACTCGTCGAAGACGCCATAAATTGAGTCCGCAAAAAGGATCAACGAAGCAACCTACGAGGAATAAGATAGTGAGAAGACCAAAGAAGAAACAAATGGTTAAGAACCCAAAGAAGGTGGAGATAGAGACACACCATCACAAAAGCCATGCCACCTGGTAACTTTTGAGTTGGTTTCGCATGAGGATTTCTGACGATGATGACAAGGCCTTGTGTTGTAATGCTGATAAAAAAGAAGAGGTAAAGAACGAAGTCACGTCAACACTATCTCCATCACTATCTAATAGTCTTGTTGAGTCCTCCTTCCAAGAAGCAAATGTCTGTAATGCAAAAATCACCTTCACTGAATGCGATCTCCTACTTGGTGAGACACCACACAATCGCCCTTTGTTTATGGTGGGTTATGTGCTCGAGTGGAGGATAAACAAAATCTTGATAGATGACGGATCTGCAGTTAATATTCTTCCCATTCGCATAATGAAAGAACTCAGCATCTCAACAGAAGAACTTTCTGAAAGCCGGCTGATGATTCAAGGATTCAATCAAGAGGGACAAAGGGCCATAGGAGCTATCAAACTAGAAATCACCATGTGAGATATGCAATCAACTGCATGGATGCATGTGATTGACGCAAAGACTTCATACAATTTGTTGCTTGGCAGGCCGTGGATACACGAGAACAGAGTTGTCCCATCAACTTACTGCCAATGTTTGAAATATAATAAAGATGGAGTCGAAAAGAAGATAGTTGCTGAAGACAAGCTGTTCGCTGAAGCCGAGGCATACTTCGCTGATGCAAAGTTCTACTTGAAGAATCACATCGTGAAGGGAGTAAAAGTTGATGATATCACGAAGGCCAAAGGTGATAATATCGTGTCCAAAAGGGCTAAAGTAGCTTCTGGTGAAGATAAACTTATAATAGAAGCATACCAAGTTTCGAAAGCTCATAAAAAGAATGCTGCAACTGCAGGCAAGAAAATAGCTCATTTATTTCGTTACGTCCCAAAAGTGAAGAAATATGAAGGAGAATCATCAAGCCTCCAAAAAGATGCACTAAGAGAATTAACCCTCCCTATCAAGCAGATTGATATACCATAAAGTTATCTTCAAAGTTACTGGAAAAGTTTGTGGCCCCTAACGTGCCTCAAAATAAGGCAATCCCCACGAAACGCACAAATGAAGGTTTTGATCCGAATGCTTACAGGTTGTTCGCAAAGGCTGGATATGATCCCAACGAACCATCTAAGCTAGGAAAGCTCCCACCTGAAGCTACCAGGAAAGCAAACACGATGAAGGATAAAGAGCATGTGGTGAAGCAATCACGTGAGGGTCTGGGTTACAAACAACCCCCACCAGTTCGCATCTCCATTAGAAGAGCAAGTATTAACTATATCACGATGGAAGATGAACCTGCCGATCCTAATAAAAGGCCTTCTGTCTTTGATCGACTTGGAGAACCAACTACAAGAACTTCTGTATTTGAGAGGTTGGGGCCATTGAAAAGGAAGAAGAACAAGCCCCAAAGAAATTATGAAAAAATAAGAAGACCTTTGCCATCTAGAGTCCAAAGTATCTCCAAAGAGTGTCAAAGCCTGATCCCTTCCAGAATGAGGCGACAATCAGAACTTTTGATTTCATGCGGAGAGGTGTGAGCACGTGATTTTTGCCCTATATGAATTACTCCCATAATTTCAAACAAAATAATTTCTTTTCATTATTTGTAATTTCGTGAATTTTTGTGGCATTTTAGGTTAATTGTTGGCATTTTGTTTGCACGTTTTAATTCGTAAAAATACAAAAAATATTTGGCATCTGCATTTAGGGATTTAATGTTACATCTTTAGGATTAATTAGAAATTAATTATTTCATAAAATGGAAAATTAAAAAATATATGTTAAGTTGCATTTTTAATTTTCATCTTGATTTTGAGTAGTGTGTCTTTTTAAATTTATTTTGTGATAATTGTCATAGGTGTTTAATTAGTTTTAGGGTTAATTGAATTTTAGAAATTAATTTAGATGTATTTT